CGGCCGCCTGCCAGCATTCGGTCTCGCTAGCGGCTAGGAATGCTGGTGAAAGCTGTCAAATTACTTTTCAAAAGCAGTTTATTAGGCGTAAAAGACTCTGCACACTTTGGTGCTGACAGCATGACACAGTGGCTGTTCCTACTAGTCTTTTTTCAATAAACCTGGCGAACTCAAATGTGATAGTTTCGCCGGCAAAATCGTGACGTCATTTCGTGAACAAGTGGTGCATTTATGAGCTCGTATATTGCAATATGTACTGTAGCTTGGCATGCTCAGTACAACCTCTCAACAGTAATATCCAACAATAAAATGCAAAACAGTTCGCTACACCATTACATCTTATTTTGCTTCTACAGTCTGTTATATAATCAAATAACAGTTTAACACAGGTTAATCTTGTGTTGAAATAAATCCAAAGGATATTCTGCCTGTCTCAGCACAACCTCCTCTCGCTCTCTTCAAAACAGGAGAGGTGCAAGTGGAGGAGGTTGACCAAAACAGGTTGGTTGATTTTGGGTGTGGGATGTATTATACACAGGATTTTACGTTTTGTCAAGCACACAAATACAAAATGAGAACACTCACAAGGAGCTGCAGTAGGTCACAAACTAATGCCGAACGACTCACATGCAGACTAACTGGCTACCTGGACTAGGTCACACCCCATAAAGGCAGACATCAACACACACATATTGCAGAGCGTACGTATGTGTGACTTCTGGCTTGATTATATTTTTTAAAGCAAACTTTTTTCTTTTTTACCTGACCTTTTATGATGTTCAATTAGGTATTTATGCCGCCACAAGGAATAGGGACCGGGCCGGCCCACAAATAGTGAAAATCCACATATACAGTAATTGACACCCATTATGTATGCATTTGAAAACAACAACAACAACAATAATAATAATACTGTAATTAATAATAATAATAATAATGAATAAATTTACCTACACTCCCACCCCAAAGAAAATAATTTAACATTAAAAAATCTATTTCTGTATTTATTTTTGTCTGCAGAGGGTTGCATCCGCAAGTGCCCAACCACCATTATGCTGGGGGCAACTGTGCAGTGCTATTTTTCTTTCCTGAAAACAAGAAAAGAAAACGTGCATGGGGTGGAAAAGATTCATGACTTTTCAGTTAATTTTATGGGGAGAACTAATTTAATATAATTTCATATATAGCTACAGGACATATAGTTCTGAGTTTGGTCAAGGTACCACTGGAGTTAGTCAGTTAGTTAGTTAGTAAGTTAGTTAGTATAGTATAGTAAAGTAATACTAAAAATCAGCACTCCAAACTTCAGTTAATAAGGGCATAATGTAATTTTTTCTTAGGTTAAGATTTTACAATTTTACTTGGAGTACAGAAGTATAACCTTATTTTTAGGGATTGGCGAGTACTTAAACAGTCAATACTGTATTCAGACTGGTATTGGTCTGAAAAGAAGTGGTGTCGAATATCCCTACAGTACTAATTTTAGTCATACTATACCTGCTATCTTTTTATTCACGGTCACCTCAAATAACATAAAATGAAAATCCTGTTAAAGAGGTACATGCTATTTTATTTTTACTACTGTAGACAAATTCCTTGTGTGTTTTACATAACTGGCCAATCAAGATGATTCTGGTTGTGGTTCTTACATAATTTTTGGTATCACACTCACATAAATAAATGATTACCAGGAAATTAATACGTTGCCTTGTGACTTGTCCAGACATCATAACTCATCACTTAATGGCTAAATAAACCAAAAATGCAGCAACACGATTCATGATCGCCTGAGGGGGAGCCCTTGTTGATTCTTTAGTCATGAGCAAAAAAAAAAAGACTTCCAGCACCAGTGTGGTAGCGGCATTTGAAAAATATTACAGATGATACAAGATATTTATAACATAAAATAAAAAATATGATACAATCATAAAAAATAATATGCAGTATTGTAGTATCATTAACATGTCAATGACAATACTTGCATAGCAATGCTCCTTCGTCATCTGTGCATTGCATTTAGAGATTAAGGCCCAAATTTAGCCGATAGACATTAGCTTTTCCCTAAAATTATCTACAGCTAAGATTTTACTTGAATGAAAGTTGCAAACCTGAACTTATTGAATGCTTATTAAGTACTTATCGATTGCATAATAATTTTAGATTTTTAAAATTGAGATTGTTGTTTTATTTTTTAGTTTAGCACTATGTAGTTTCTCTTATTGAAATCAATTTTCCTTCTATATATATATATATATATATGACGTATTCTATTGCGAGAAACACATTTTTTTAATCTCAATGAAAAAAACAAACAAAAGAGAGACAAGTCTGAGTGTATGAGTGTGACCCTCAGGCCTTTATGTACCATATCAGCCATGCCAGTGGTACGCTCCTCCAGGAAGTCAATGGGAGCACGGTAAAGTTTCTTGAGGGCTGATTTCCTTTGCGTCAGCAGCTGGTCCGGGAAGTGACAGTAGAATAAAACCTTTTTTCTGTGACGAGACAGCCTCAGCACTGGAATACACACTGACACCTTGGTGGATTCAAAAACAAAAAAAATCAACTAATACTGTAGTTTACTTTTAACCCTACAGTATATGCAACTCAAGAAACACTTTCCAAGAGAAATTACAATGGAGTAGTTATCTAAATAAGGCTGAAATAAGGCTTAAAATGTGACTGTGCTGGTGATCTACCAATGAACTAGCATTTTAATTAACAAAAACATATATCTTGCCTCTTAAGATGAATGTCAAGGACTAGCTAAACAAGCTAAAATGAAAATGTCACTCACCTGATCACAAAAAACGACATCATACTCCAGCCCGCTGAGGAAAACCAAATAGACAGCCACGTAGATCATCCTCATGTAAGCACATACGGCATGGAGGTAACCAAAAACATTGGTGGGCAGCCAGTCCCCCACACAAACCTATTGGACGTGGAGGAGGAAAAAATAATTAACGCACAACTAAACGAAGATTTTATATACACGATTAACTGAGTGCTTGCTTACCACGGGTAGGTCTGGGTCAAGGGTCTCAGAGAAACAGTGGTTCGGGTCATAGTGAGCAGTCCAGATCTGGACATTACATCCCTTAGACTTAAGGGCAACAGCAGCATCGACAACTAGACGTTCTGCTCCACCTATACCGAGGTCAGGATGCAGAAATACTACCCGCACCATCCTGGACAGACATTCACAAGATAAAGAATAAGAGCAATAACTTGTTATTAAATGAATTAAAAAAATATATCCATATAACTAAGGTTACATTAAGAGAGTGTCGCGCCTTTAGGATACATTGGTCAATTCTTTTCCTTACAAGCCACCCTATGTAAAATGCATCCAAGCTATGGTTGTCAACAACCTATAACAACGCCGTGGTTTAACAATACGTTTATTTTAAGGTATTCCATGTTCATTGTGTCAAACAGGCATTATGAAGTTCAGAAGCATGACTGTCACACGTATCCAATGATTCGCCACCTGCTTCAACTAAAATTATGAACAATGAATATAAGCGGGGGGGGGGGGATATGTAAATAACACGAGCAACCACACTTAGAGATTAGTGAATTAGTTCGTGATTAGTTAGTAAATAAAAAACAAAAATGTCATCAATAAGACTACAGTGCACTGCAGCCTGCCTGCATTGCTAAAAAAACAACCAAAAAGAACCACGACGTATAATAACACAATGTTTTAAAGGCAACCACGGTACCGATAAACCCGTCAACGTATAAATTAAATATTAGACAATACAGCGTTTACCTTCTGTTTTCTTAAACAACTTTTGAGACCTGGGATGATGCTCTTGTCGCCACTCAAGAACGTCTGCCATGAAACATAGGCGCGCTGCCGCCATAGTGGCTCTACATTCACAGGCGAGACGCAGCAGGAGGAACTTCCTGCTCGCGCCAAAATGGCGCCAGTTTCCCTATTGACAATCATTCGTCTCTTAGAAGACACGTCACCCAGCGATGCGGGGAGAGTCTTATCTAGCCTATGTATATAACGTATCTCATAATCTTATAAAATGTACAATGATGCATAAAATGCTTTTAAATTATGTATTAATACAAAACAATGAAGCTGAACCTGGGTGGTATGTTAAATATTTTCTCATTTTTATGTCGAACGGTAATTTATAAACGGGCATCTTTTTGGATACCTAAATGGGTCTTAGGATTCTGCAGTCGTGTCCTTTTTGGACAAGCGTCATCTTTGGGGGTCCCTTCTCAAGTTCGGACCATTCCATTTAGACCTGGGCACCGTTCTTTGGCAGGACACGTCACCGTCGAGAGAGAACATCGGGGACTCAGCTCCTATCAACACAAATAAAACAAAATGGTGAGACAATACATCATGCGCTTGTAGTTGTTGCGCTGAAAGGAAGCGTCGCAATAAAAACAAATCCGCGTTTTGCTATCTGTTAGCACGCCTGCTAGACTTATCTTAACGTTTGTGTACGTGGCTTCCCCACCAACATATAACTAGTTAGTTAACACTAATTTCAAATCATGAATTACACTTGATAAATATGAGGTTGTTAATATATGCAACTAGATAGCGGGTTTAGCTCTACTCACTGTTCCAATGTCTGCAGCTTTTTTTAAACCACTTTTCCCCCCCTCCATTTCCAATGAGAGTAATGAAATGCATAGTAAATTGTGAAACTTTCTCTCCCTTAGCCTGGACCAGCAGTAAGTGCAACCAGTGTGGGGGCATCCAGCCGTTCCCCCAGTAAGACTGTGGCCCCCCGTACAGCAGGCTCCACAGTCAGACAGAGGTACACTCGCGAGCTCACAATCATGGCCTAAAGTGCCACTTTAGTACCCACACGAATCATAACATGAGTGGATGTTGAAGCAGGGATCCAAACGTGGATGATCGTGAAAATGAAACTAAATTTTTAATCTCTTGGAAAAGAAACCTCATTGATTGACACTTAAAAGTGTTATTTAAGTTATCTTCTGCACAAACACCAATTTTCAAAGACTCATAATTGACCCCTCAACTCCTGAGCTGGTGAAATATACGACGGCATCATGCCCTTTACTGACCTCAGTATAGCTTTATCTATTTACCAAGACATTAAAACACCAGACAGACGTTTTCACTTCTGGCGTGAACAGAGTTTAGTGTTAATTCATTTAGCAGTCTTGACTATCAGCATCTTCATCAATAGCTTTTTCATTTCGATCACATGTTGCACTGAGGACTTAAACTCATTATCATACTAACAGGCATTGCTTTGTTCCTCTATTTAATCAGGCTGTTTAATTACAAAAGTTGTTTTGAGGACACTAGAAAAAGGAAACGGGAGTCAATAGGATTACATGATGAAAGTTGTGATATGTTCTTATAAATAGGGAAAAAAGATAAGGAGGGGAAACTCATATTGAATTGAGTTTTTTTCTCTAAAGCAGAAAAAAATTATCAACGTTAAGACTTTTTTTCATACAATTGTATCCTTGCAAATTTATGACTTAATATAATGTAAAATTTGAAAATGTTTCATGGTAACTTTCCTGTCAACTGTATTCTGTAAAATGATCACATCTGTTAATTCTGACATGTTTTAGTCTTTTAGATTTTTAGTAGATCAAGACGTTTTTGGCATTATATTACAACTACAGTATATCGTGTAAATGTGACATTTGTAGTTGTTCGGTATTCCAACTTTATTTTCAAATATTTGACCATTACATGTTGCTTTTGCAATTTGTTTTTCAACATTTATCATCAAATTGTGTTCAGTATTGTTAAATCTTGTATTCTTTTCATATCATGACAAAGTTGGTAGTAATATTCCAACGTTATCCTCTGAAAATTAATCATTTGTTGTCACAATGTCACCCCACCACCCATCACCATCCCCCAACAATCAGCCAATATTTCACAAGTTCTGCCAGGATATGTAAATGAATGAGCACAACTGTACATGAGGTGGTGTTCACTTGTGTGTTCCACAGGAAAGCAACGAGCAGCGGTACCCGCAGTGGTGGCAGGACCACTGGATCGGCTGGTACCGGGGGAATGTGGCGCTTTTACACCGAGGACTCGCCGGGTCTCAAAGTGTAAGTATATTGTCAGAAAAGCTGTAACTATATGACCTCACCAGTATATAAAACATATTCATACCTAATGTTTGATGCATCATTTGGGTTGGAAATCAGGCAGAAAAGTCTGATAACTTTCTATTCTGAGCCAAGCTCACTTCCCATTATAAAAAAAAAAAAAAAAAAAAAAAATGCATCCCATCTCCCCGTCGCATGCGGCGGCGCCGGCTGATCGATGGCGCCGCGCTGCTTATCGAGTGTGTGTCTCGGGCGTGGAAGGAGGGCACACTCCTTGTACGCCGCTGTATATCGAGTGCGCGTTTGTTCCTGCGTTAGACACCACTCGCAGAGCTTCATTAAAGGATCCACTCTGAAAGGTCAACTCAATTACAGCCTTCTGACAGGGGCGGGGGAAGGGCGAGGGATTGAGGGGGGCGGTTGGCATGGCGATGCACCCCCCC